AAGAAATTCTAAGCTATTATTTTTGGTCCATGAATACCGTGCTCAACTGGAGGGAAATCTTTTGCCAAGGTAAACAAAATATGACGAAAGAAGAACAAATAAAAACTGAACTGTATGAATGTTAGGTATGGCAACAAGAAACAAAGATAACAAATTGAAAGTTTCTTACCTCAAAAGAAAGGACATTAATCCTATTTCGATTTTAAACACAAAGAAGATAGTGAAAAAGAAGATTGACTTCTCTCCGTACAGAAGCTCAGTGACAGATAAAGTCATCCTTTCTCAGAAACAAAGCCGACACACGGGTAATAGCATAATGTACCCGTAACAGCCAAGATTCAGTGACATAAAAATAAAAAATTCAAAATAATGAAAAAATATCCGATGGTATGATCATTTTCTTTCAGTTTTTACAAACGAGACAAGGATGTCCGGGAGGACGAAGAGTTACAAGCCTATGTAAATGAGTTATCTATTGAGGGGACTGGACCGAATGGTGGATCTGGCCAGGTAATGAAAAGACATGGAATGGGCCAAAACCGGAAGGTTTTAGTTTGCATTCACTACGAGAGCCTGGTATTAGTTATCCGGTGTCTAAATTTGCTACTAATAAATGTAGATAAAATACTGGAGCCCCTATACTACAAGGTAATCGGTAGCAAAAGTAATTGTTAAGGGTGAAAATAGGTCAAGAGCCCCCCTAACCACCATCATAAGCCAAGGGCGTAGCTAGGGGGAGGATGTGGGGTCGTGGGGTTTCCCGTGGACCCCCCTCCCTTTGCAGGTCTTTTTTGTCACATTAAGTAAAACACGGCGTGGTGGTCGATCTCACAATCCTTTAATTTCCCTCTGTTGGACACAGTGTGATCCCCCCTCTGAAAATCCTGGTTACGCCCTTATAGGCGATACCAACATTGAATTTATTACAACTTTGGCTGAAACGCCAATCATTCTTCTTATAACAGCTGAAACCTGCTAAACCTAAAATAAGCTTGAAACTGCCAAAGGTGATCATATTGATCCAAGATATGTATGCAAGACTTTCCAAATAAATTCTTCGCGTTGGTCTCCGTTTCGAGAGGGACTCGTTTATCAATCTTCGTTTTTCTCATTTTGTACGATAGGTTAAAGACTTTCCGGCCGTGTTGGAGACTAAGAGCGAGCTTATAGACGTGATAACGAGATTGCTGTGGTTGTTAAGTGTGAAGCATTCTACGGTAAATTATCCCGTGAGTGACTACGGAGCCTTTACACCTGTCTTGCCAACCAAGCTTTATAATGACACCAGTGTACCGCCAGGAGTGTTCTCCGAGTTGAATTTACCAAATCGCAACATATCCCTTGTAAGTATTTCTAGCCAATCAGTCATTCAATTGATCGATCCATTTCTCTTATTACAAATTAATGGTGTTACAGACGGTGTGTATTGGGCATTTGTTCCATCAGTAATCCAGTTATAAGCAGGACTATTAATCTTGGAGAAATTTGTCAGAGAGTCTGTCAGACTGTCAATACGTCTAGTGGTCAGGAAGTTAGAGAACCGATCTGAATGATAGTCACAGGTTAGTCACTCAATCGTTTGGTCGATTGAATGACAAAAAAAAACTTTCTTTACAATGATAAGAAATACGAAAAGTGGTGTCAGTTAGTCAGACAGGCTGTTTGATCGTCAGGAAGTCAGGCGGCCCAACTGACAGATAGTCACACGTCATGATCAGTCAGTCAATCGGTTGATCGATTGAACGGCAAATTAAAAAATTTTTCCTCAAATACGAAATAAGAAAAGAGAAGAAATAGGGCAGGTATCTCACGAATTTTCAACTCCTCTCCTTAAAATGGAGGCCTTTCTCAAGATCTTGACTGTTACTCCCTTTACTTCCGCATAGATAGAAATGTAGACTACTAATCAGATGGGAGGATATTCTCATCTTTTTCTTTTGTTAGCTAGTTAGAAAGTTTATCTTAAGAGCGATTCTAATTTTCTAAAGAGCTTTATCTCAAGTAAAGATGACCATGTACGCGAGTTATTCAATTCTCTCTAATTTGAACCATTTAATTTCCTTCAAGCCTTTCACCCTGCACATGCGCTAACAACCTCTTTTGTTCCCTATAGGCCCAGATCGAGGTAGCTATGAACGTGGGAACATACCATTATGACACGTTATTTGATTACTACGGGCAGCTCAAGAATCCAGCAGCAAAGCAAGTGGTTAGGTTTTATTTCTATTACCTTAAGTATGCCGTCAGTCCCAGGCTTAAGTTCAGGAACTATCGGAGACTTAAGGCTGGCCATCTCACTTATCCATATCTACAACATCCTTGGATTCCAAACGGAGTCCAGACATGAATAATAGACAGTTAGAATAAGTTACATTTAAAAGTTAAATGCGGGTATATTTTAGGAATGACAAATGTATTCTTCGTCGATGTGGTGAAGCTCAACTTTTTGATCTGTTACAGACTCGGTCACCTCAAAAATTTGACTGTTGTTACAGGTCATTTCATAAAGCTAATTGTTTTAAACCTCTATCTTCTTGTGTACGCTGTGTAATGGCGGATAGCTAATGAGAAAATGGATTGAAAATATGATGAGATGCCACCTTAATAGAGATATGGAGTCACAAACCGGCTCAACTTTAGTGTCTGCGTCCGCTCAGCAGAAGTGTCTGCTGACTACGGCTGTGTCTTACAGTAAATATGGGAAGTAAAAATTTAAAGTATGTTTGTCGTTCTCAAGTTCGCTTAGTACGGGTAATCCAATTATCATTATGTCCTTTTTCATATTTAGGCAATAACGAATGTAACGTTTCAATTGTTACTGAACAGATATCTTATTATCTCTGTTGATTCAAGTGTTCGTGATCTCTAGCTTGGCTGGCTTGTTACAGGCAAGGAAAGTTACACCACTAAAATTGTAAAATGATTTTAACACTTTATTGTAATGAATGATCGTTATGGAATAAACTTGGAATGTCCATGGGAATCAACTGTGCCTTACTTTCTTAATCACTAATTGATATTATTCAAACGATAAATGGATTGATTTTGGCCTAATGTGCTAGCAAGAAACGGCTTAGAAATTTGGCCAATTTGGCCAAACAGTTGTATCTGATTTTGAAACCAGCTTACTCAAAAATTTTAAATCATTGGTCACCGAGATAGTAAATGGTGATGACCACTTTTCCAGATAAATACCTTCCAGCGAGTCATAAATGATCTGGTAAACTACGCTTTCCCACAACGGATCTCTCCTAGTCCCTTCCCTTTTTTTTTTTTTTTTTTTTTTTTTTTTTTTTTTTTTTTTTTCATTTCAATCCTTCTTAGCTCTAAGTTTCCTGTGAATATTAGTCATAAATGAAATATTTCAGAGAAACAGGAAGGTTAATATATAATTAAATTTTCTTGTCGAGTCTTGAAAGGATCATGGAAGAATGGAAAAAGCTTTCAAAACATTCTTGAACTGAAAAACTGACCTCTGCTTCGTGCTCTGTTTGGAAATATTCCCCTCAGTCCCTATATTATCAACTTTTTAATTACCGCGTGGCTCATGCTAACTTTGAAGAATAACACTTTGGCGAATGCACCAGAAACAAAGCTTTCAATCAGTTAACCTCTTCATTAGCTTGTTGATAATAATGATAAAAAAATTTTTTACCTCTTCACTTTTCTTCACACATAAGTCAAAAGACAAGCCCCGGCTGAAGGTTTAAACATTGCATTTGCCGCACGCAAGATATACATTTCAATGACATTCCACACTCGAGTCTCGCGAAAAGTGGAAAATTGATTAAATATCCATTCATGAAAGCGTCACTTGCTCAGTGAGTGTGAACGGCACCTTCTTGGTGTAGAAAACACAGGAAATTTCACGATAGAACACCTTCTCATTCACCTTTTGTCTTCCTCGTTCTTTTGTTTCTTTTCTTTTCTTTTCTTTTTTTTTTTATTTAACGTCAACTGTGTCTCTTACACCAAGTAAGAGCCGTGTGAACGAACCTCTCAGGTGACGCAGTATTAGTTACGCGAGGAGCAGTTGAGGATCTGAGCTCCCTGCAAGACATTGTATGTGACGAATGTTCTCCAGTATCACATTTAAATTGTGGGTAAAAATTTTGAGAATGAAACAAGAGCGCAGAGCATAAGTTTGATCATTAAGGGTGGTTTTCAGATTGAAATCTCATGAAGCAATGAAAAGCTTAACTTTATAGGAAACAGCTGAATAACAAAAAAAGAAATACAAACCTTGAAAATTTAATGTGGCCCATGCAGGATATAGTGTACTTTGGCGAATATTTCAGTTTGCTTTCACCGACCAACGAGCCACATGTGCGATGAAGGCCAGCAGCAGAATGCTTTATATGTTTTTTAGGAGATTTTCATACGCACGATTAATATCGCATCTCCCACGAGATATAGGGTTCGCCTCTCACGCTGGTTAAGTACGTATTTTACATTCTGCGAACGAAAAATAAAAAACAAGAGATAGTTCTTACACGAAAAGTTGAGAGAAATGACAATGTACAGAGTCTCTTGGAACACTGGTAATAGTTCCTACCAAGAATTCTTACACAGGTTGTGCCGCCCGACAGAACCTTGATTTAAGGACTCCTAGTATAACATTGGGAATCCTGAGATCTTGGCGATAAGTTAACGGTTCATATAAATTTCGTTCTCTTCTTTTATTTTTTGTTTCTTTTGCCGCGTCTTTTGAGTTATAAACGCAAATATTTATTATTTGCGCGTAAAACCAACGGTTGTGCAAGGATAGTGCGTTTTGTGGCAAAAAAATCACTCGAACTGTTCTTTCGGTGGGGCTGTGACGTTAACAGCAAAGTTCGACTCCTAGTTATGTCATTCCCTATTAAATAAAGGAAATAGAGCGAAAGCTACACTCTAACGCATGTCTCTCATCAGTTGTCAAAGGAATTCTGTCCAACGCACTCAACCTACAAAGGAATAAACGTGCCACAAATAAACCGCTGCCCACGGATAATTGCAGGTGCAAAATAAAGATGGCGAACGAGGAGGAATCAGGAGGTTATCGCTGGTTAAATCAGTACGAAAGAACGTGGTACGTTTAGTGTGATATCCTAATATTTATAACCGCCTTATTTTTACAAATCATGTGCATATATATTTATGTGCGCACGTCCCAAGCCTTGGCAATTATTTTTTTTTAAGTACAAGCTGGGGATTGCCTCCTTTGCGCGAAACTATGCATGGCCTCTCCTGTTTTTTTTTTCTCTGTCTGATCTCGGCTCTCTTTTTCTATCCTATTGATTACCTTGCTCGTTGTACTGCACTCAAATTTCCGAGCTTCTCAACTGACAAATCAATTTTCAGGGAGGCAAAAACGGAAAAAAGTTTTTCTATTAATTAAATGAAATAACTTTGGGAAGATTTCTGCATAGCATCATACTATAGCACAACAAAGTGCTATAGAAAATAAAGATGGAAATCTATTTTTATAGAAAATCTGTTTTTTCGCCTTTTTTTTTTATTTATCCTACCATCTGCATAACAAGGTAGTGGGGTGGGTGGAAATCTTAGTATAACTTTAACAGTATAGATGTTTTTGTCATCATCATTCAGCAGCATTAAATCTATCAACTGCAACAAGTTATATGGCTACATGTTGTTGTATGGCTTGATTTTTGGTGTTCTATAAAACCATATATTGAAATAAACCCGAGTAACCAAAACTTCAGACATACTACATATTAGAACCAGCATTCAGTATGGTATACTCATAAATACTTGTTTTTGATTGCCCAGGGAAGTTATTCAAGAAGATGCTGAAGGTTCTCTTCAAACAGTGGTGGATGAAATTTCACACAGGACCAAAAGAAGGAGGTGGAACAAAAACTTTACAAAAACATCAGATTAGAAATTTGAACTCATTGATGCATAACCAAACATCTCTGGATCTTTGTAGTTCTATTTTTTTCTTTTTATTCTTCTTGTTCTTATTTCTTTCTTCTAGTTCTTTCCCTTTTAATTTGTACATAATACCATCTTTACATGTAGTGGAAGAGAGTATTCAAATGATTTGTATGTTCATGTAAAAGTTAAAGAGTAATCAATGGATAGTTAGATATTGCACTGCTTTCCAAGCCAGCCAATTAGGATCCAATTATTCAGTCTTTCAGTTGTATGTATAAGATTAAGATTTCTTAAAACAATTTACAGTGAAGAATCCACTAAATTACACTTTTAAAATGACAATGAAAAAGTGATTGATGAAACAAACAGATGAGAAATAAAGAAATAAACATTTAAGTTCTCTTGAATGAGACTTTGAGAATAAGTAAACATTTACAACTGTGAGTCTGACTAAATGTTTTGCTGTTGTGAAATTTTTCAGAGTTATGGGAAGAAGTGGTAACATTCGACTTGGGATGGTATGTATTAGGTGGTAAATAGAATAAATTAAAGCTAATACGGACACATTAAGAATATCTATTCTTCATTCTCTAAATTGATTGAAATAATGATACATGTTCATTCTTGAAGGAGAGGTATTTGCCAGAAATCATTAAGAAATTTTATCTCTGCCATTTGAAAGTATAACATGAAATTATTTTTGGGTTGATGAGAGGAACAAAAAGACGTTCAAAAACGTCTCCAAATGTGTTAACCCTTTAACTCCCAAGATCTCATTAGTAATTCTCCTTACTGTCTACCAAATGATTCTCATTTTGTAAGTTTGGAGAATTTGGTATCGGATCAATTAGCAATCCTATTATTGATATTTTTCTTTATTCTCATCACTTGTCTGCATGATATTGTATAGATATAGTAAGGAGAAATTCTGTCTTGGTCACTCACAGGAATTAAAGGGTTAAAACTTTGACTGTAGGTGAAGCCACTTTGAATTATTCAGTGCAATTGAATTTCATCTGAAATTTGGATATTAATGACATTTTAATGGAGAGGTATCAATTAAAGACCTCTCAGAATGTTAAAAATATCTCAATTTTATAATGTGACAATTGCTTTTTTTATTGTAATTTTTAGATGAGGCACTTGTTTATCATTGTGGATATGTCCAGAGCAATGGAAGAAGCAGATTTAAAACCTTCACGCCTTGCATGTTCTGTCAAGGTACCTGAGTTAACTATTAGCGACATTTTGAGAGTTGAAAATAATATGCAATGCCTCAGTTTGGTTTTGCCTATTTCAGAGATATTCAATGTAAAGTTAGTCATTATTGACAGTGATCTTGAACCAATATAATATCTTTTCTAACAGCTCTTGGAAACTTTTGTCACTGAGTACTTTGATCAGAATCCTATTTCACAGGTAAAGTATTATTTTTCTTCAAGGTGATACATCTGATTTTGATGAGTAAGAGCCAGTGTTATCAGTGTTAAATCTTCGGTTGCAGATTGGAATTATTGTGACCAGAAACAAGAGAGCTGAGAAACTCACAGAACTGAGTGGTAGGACAACTGAAGATAACCTTTGCTGACTTCATTTTTTACAATCATTAATACTCTGACATTAGTCATATTCATATTATCATGATTGACCCTGGGAGACTAGAAAATAATTGAACGTAACCAAAATTAAATTACAATATAATTTATTTTGTCCAACTGAGTTCATAATCCAAATTGGCCCCTGTAAAAAGATTCCAAAGCAAATGTTTTAAGCTTTAGCCCTTCATCAGAGCAAATGACAAAGGGCTAATACTTGAAACATCAGGTGGCCAAGTTTCATCATCAACTGAGTTGATGATGAATTTACCCCTACAGATGCAGCACCACAGTTTCTTTAGAAACTTACCCCCTTTTTTAAAAAAACAAATTAGGTGAAATAAAGTTATAAACAAGAGCATTTTGTGATTTTTGAAGACAAGTGTGAAGAAATTGACAGAAATTTTGATATATATATATATATATATCTACAATAATTAAATTGTTTTTTTGATGATAACTCAGCAATGATGCCAGTGAGATATATAGTTTTATCTTTTTATCTCTAGAGTGACAAGTGCACTAAATGTTATTTTTCACACCTAGGTAATCCACAAGTTCACATTGGCACTCTCCAAAAAGCTGCTGCTAAACCTTGCCAAGGAGAACCATCACTGCAGAATGCCATGGAATCTGCTGTTCAGTCGCTGAGGTGAGTAACTTCGTGGATGGTTTTACAGTAGTGATTTAAGAAATATGAGAAGCCCAGTTGAATTTCAATGATGCAAAAGCACCTTATACACATTTAGGAAGACAAAAACAGACTGAAACCTCTGAACCTGCATGACAGGCTTATTTTCTGATAAGAGAATGTTCAGTTATGAGGCCACAATGATCCTACCTGCTTCAGGCTCTCCTTAATCTTTCTAATTCAGTGTAGCAGCTTCATCACTGCATTCAGGTTAGTAAGCACTTGCTTGCTATGCAGACTTCTAAAGCTAAGGAGATTGAAAGTGGATTGGTGGAATGTGTAAAGATAATAAACACTTTTTTATATTTATAGACATATGCCTGGCCATGCCAGTCGTGAAATACTTATTCTGTTTGGAAGCCTTACATCATGTGACCCAGGAGATGTCTTGGAGACTGTTCATGTAAGGACTGGCATTCTTCTAGATGTGTAAATGGGTATTTTTTTCTTTTTCATCCTTACAAGTTAGTTTGCTTGACTTTTGACTTGTTGACCATTTTCTTCTCAGACTCTTCAGCAACAAAATATAAGGTGTTCTATCATAGGCTTGGCTGCGGAAGTACGTGTTTGTAGAACAGTTTGTGCTGAAACACAAGGTTGGTGATCTGTTTTTCATTGATGTTATTGAGGCCTTTTTCCATTAAAAATGGCATATGCACAATATAAGTTCCTGATTTCTCAAAACAAAAACCTTGAGAGGCTCAAAAAAGCTTCCTTATTGGACACAATATATTGGTTGATGGATGAATACAACCAGGATTTTTGTCTTTTTCCTCAAGATTGGTATCATGTAGATTTATAATTAGTTATCAGTTCAGGATCTTTTTCACTGATGCCAGATGTCACTACGGCAAGGCCACAACCTCATTAAAGAAAACTATTTAATTTTGGCATTATAGGTAAAGGGTAGGTTAGGTTAGCTGTTCTTATTGTAAGGTGGCTCTGACATTTTCTCAAAACTTTGCTGAATGATGATTCTTGATACGATGATTTCAATTCCAGAATAGAAAATAGCAGCCATTGTCATCTATTTAAAGGCTTTAAAAGCTAAAATTAGAGTTGTACCTATGATGATTTATGGTTTCTCAAAAAGACATTCAATTTATATTTGTATATGATTTGCACAATTGCTCTATACCATTCTCAACAAATCTGATGTAAAGCTGTTGTTGGTGCTTGAAAATAATGGAACATATTTAAGGATCCATTCATTTAACTTGGCTGGGTAAGCATTTCTTAGGGAGTTATGGTGAACATTCTGGATGAAACACTTTTGAGAATCCATTGAACTTGGCTGTGTTAACTTTTTTTAGGGAGTTATGGTGTTATTCTGGATGAGAGACATTACCGTGAATTATTAATGCAGCATGTTACACCACCTGTGGCTAAGGTATGCTCAGGGATATTGATAAATCCTTCAGTGCTGTTGTTAACACTGAAACCAATTTTATTTTACAAATGTATTTTTGTTGTTCAAGAGAGGAACTCCATGAATCCAAAAACTGCAAAGCTATTTGGTCTTGAAGTATCATAATGATAGAAAACCTTTTCAAACTGTTTGATTGTTTCCATGAGAATGACAGATTTATCAGTACTCACTGTTACATCTACAGTCTTATTAACAGGAATGAAGAAAAATATTAATGTACTTTTTGTAACTGAAATCGTTGTTCATGCTTAACAACCAACCACCTGTAGGGTGAGATTTTCAGGTGGGCCTGTTCATTTAACTTCAGTGTGGTCTTCTGACCTGTTTTTCTATGTAAAAAAAACCCTTGTTGTTAATGAGCTAGTTATTCATTGCGAAGTTACAAAAAGTACTGTTGTTCATCACCATGACCCATAGTCTGTCAAACCTAAGAAGAAGATATCATCAGGGGTCTAACCTGTAGCCCTGTAAATTCAACTGTTACTCCAGGGTTCAATGTTTTTTCATTTGTACAGCTTTATTTCAAGATTATTTTTAAAATTGTTCTTAATTTGTAATAGACTGATACAGAAGCTGCTTTGATTCGAATGGGTAAGTATTGTTGATGTCTCAATCATTGCATATCGTTTTGAAATGCTTTACATGTACATACACTGTACTGTGCTTCACATTTGCTATAAGAGTCCTTTTAATGAGGATATGTATGCTATGTTAATGTGATAAATGAAAAGTGAAAATCCCCATGAACCTTTAGCCCAGCAAACGTCTAGAAGAAATGCTCATTTGCAGTGAATCCACAATAGAATGGTTGATTTCTGGTCTCTTCTGAAATTGTTCACAGGTTTCCCTCAGCATCTTTCGAGCGGACCACCATCCTTGTGCATGTGGTAATACATATAATTATTACGTAATTTGAGTGTTTCCCGCGCGCCCTATTTGTCACGACTTGCACAATTTCATGTAAGAAGTACAGAGAAATAATAGTGGTTTAATTAAGGGCTGATGCCTCAAAGGGGCAATAATTAACATCCTCAACTTTACTCCGAACATGCTATTGCAGCCATGCACTGCACTTTATTCATTATTTCACTGGGATTAAACTCAAGTCGTAGTAAGTACTTCCTTCACCCACTAGAAGAAACGGTTGGAACTAAATGGTCCAAGAACCTCACATAATACTATGGTTCGATTTGGTTGAATCTCATTTAAGAGGATTAATAACATTCATGTTTGATTCATTCTACTAAAACTGGGATAGATTGGAGAAGATTCTCCTTCCTATCTTTTCTTTCCTCTTTTTGGCATCCAAAAAGCGCAATACTGCACAGGTTTTCACTAATATTTTTACGGTATTTTAGAATACTTATCATCCATCCATTTGATTAGTATTTTGTTGTATTTTTTGTAGTCATTTGGATAGTAATGGTGTTAAAGGACTTAGCACATCAGGATACTTCTGTCCGCAGGTAAGATGAGCCTTTTCATTCCCTCTTATTTCCAAAGCTGCACGATAAGGGATGGCTAATACTGATTCTCCCTTTTTTCAACCATTTTTTAGTGTAAGAGCAAGTACTGTGACCTGCCCGTAGAGTGCAAAGTTTGTGGTGAGTTCCCATTTTAAGAAATCAATTACTTTCTATGAGGACCCATTGTTTAGACAGAGGTAAAATGGCTCTCGTAGGTATCGACGCAGAGAGGGTAATAATATCTTGATGAATCAGCATGTATTTTTGAGAAGTGAACCACGCAACGCTGATACACTATTTTTTTAAAAAAAACATTTAGGCTAAGATTAAGAACACACTAAGAACATACCTGGGCCATACCCTGGCTGAAGGTCATTTGAGTGCGTCTTTATTTTGCTTTTTTTTGGTTTTTTTTTTTTGAAAAGTATTATTAAATAAAAGTAAAAGAGCTGTAAAACTGTGTTCTAACAGGACAATTAACTCAAATGCTTATGGAAATTTTTTAACCTTGATTTACTGAAATACTTAACCACACAACTTTAAGAACATGTGAGAACGGTGTCCTTCGCGGGGTAATTAAGTTCTGCTTATGCAATGTGATTTGATAGAACTTTTAAATTTCTTCTACCATGGTAGAAAAGACATGGAAAAGTCTTTGGACATTCGAGAATTGTTATATTTTACTGGAATACTAATAGTAATGTGACATGTGTTTACAGGTCTAACGCTTGTGTCTGCTCCTCATTTGGCTCGTTCGTATCAGCACTTATTCCCGCTTCCTCAGTTCACTGAAACAGATTTGTCAACTCCTATGGATGGACAAAGCTTACCCAGGTAAAATACACTGTTGAGATAACGATGCAAATTGAGTAGATCAAGGTCTGATTTCAATTCTGCACTTCGTGTAGCGGTCAGAATGCCAAATGGGTGAAGTTTTATAATCGATCTCAATGTCATCTGCATAGTGCATGACATGGTTATGACTTTTTTAAAAAGTATTCAACCGTTGCTCATTGCTATTTGTTAGTCTGAGTTGATGGACTGATAAATTTTATGAGACGTTCGTATCTTTGGTTCCCTTGGGGCCACAGCTCTTTAACATTGCGTGTTGTGAAACCAAAGTCATCAAAACAGCTAACAAGAACAAAGATTACCAGCACAAAGAGACTCTGAAAACTGGGTTTTAACACACCTAAACGACCTCGAGCGAGGAAAATCACAAGTGACTTAGTTGCAGTTGGTTTTATGTTTGCCCTTGTTTGCATTCTTCAGACGAATCGCGGAGCGTGTCAATAGTGAAAGACTTTAAGCACACAACTGAAAATCACGTTATTGTGTCATTCCCTCCCGATTCACCACTAAGAACAGCATTCAACGATCTTTTTCAAATTATTTGAATAATGCAAGATTCTTTTATAACCTCGATGTCGTTTTCAGGTTTTTTTCTTTTTTAATCTGTATAGACACAATTATTGCTTCGCCTGCCAAAGAGCGTTTACAGAACAAACGGTGAGCAATTTTCATATAATTAGCTGTTTTCCTTTTGTTCGTGTGATTTAATGTGATTGTGATCGATGCCGGTGTGGTTTTTGTTATCGCGAAGTTGTATTCACGGTTGTCTTATCTTTTCCTTTCGTTTGTTTTGTGACTCTTTGATGTTGTTGATTATTGAATTATTGAACAGACCAGCATAGCTGTTCGTTGATCTAAAAAATATCCAGAAAAGCTTCACTCCTTCCTTGCGGTTGAAGGAGGAGGGCACAATAACGATCACAGTCGAGCGGATTCCCACTGTCATTTTTCACAGAGGTGTACTAAAATTTCAAAAAGGAACCAATGGTGTGGACGAGTGCAGTAATAAATCTTGATAGATACATACGATTAATGTCCATTTGTTGCTATCCAGCAGAAAAATAAAGCTTGTACAAGACTTTTCGCAATATACATTCTTCTTGTCACGAGTTCCTACGATGAATCGAACCCCAGACCTCAAACCCACACTGCTTTCGGAGGCGATGTGTTTGGAAAAGTGCTTTTTGAATGGCCGAATTTTTTGACCGATTTACGTGCAATTTCGCTCTGACGAAGGATTAACGTTTGAAACGTCAGCTTAGAAACTCTTTACGGTGGCCAATTTATAATATCAACTTAGTTGTTAAAATTAAATCATCTTGATACGAGTATTACGTTTGTTTTCTTGCAGATATATTCTTGCCCTCAATGTGCACAGTTCTTTTGCATGGAATGCGACATCTTTATCCACGACTCCCTCCACAGCTGTCCCGGGTGTACTGCCTCCCCACAAGGGGAGGGTTAGAGTTAAATTTATTTGCAAAGAGAATATGAAACATAACCGCAATGAATAAACAAACAAAACATTCTGAGTTTCGTTGCTTTCATCCTCTTTTATTTACACTGATCATGCAAAAGCGCCGGGTTTATTTCAATTAGGTAACTGTCAGTATCTCTATTGATGAGACTAAATTGTCTTACCGTTACATGTTGCTGATAATTCAAAATCATTCCATGAAATGTGAATCAAATCCCTAACTTAACATCGTACCTTCCTCTTCTCATGACTCTTTGTATGTGCTTTTGCTTTTAGGCTTACTTGAAACAAATTGGTCAGCTGATTGTGCGACACGAGCAAAATGCTACCGCCTTACTAACGCTAAACCTCTTAAAATGTGCATGATTGCTAAATGTTGAAGCATTTCAGAAAAGTCTCAGGAGGATCTTTAAGAAATCTTAGACTTTTCCCCCGAAAATTACTCTAAAATCAAAAGTCACATCATCTCCAATCAGCATGAAGGGTGCCCACTGGCTCACAAGGGAAAACCCATTACGTCTCATCCACTTCATAGCATGGTGAAGAGATTCACTAGCACTTTCACCACGTGCAAGGTGTGCGTAGAAGCACTTCATCAACTGCTCTGTTGCACTGTCTTCCAGGGCCCATAGTGCCACCAACACTGAACGTGCACCGGATCCTAAAAACGCCCGAGCAATGCCAACCACTCCCTCAGTTCTGATCTGTCCTTGTGCACTGTGACAACAACTCAGAACTACAAGTTTTGCTCGCAGCTTAACTTGAGATATGTCAGTCATTGATAAAACAAACTCTTCATCTCTTGGAGTATGGTGAATGGGACGGAGAGGTGCAAGTGCAATTTCTCCTCTGTCTACGTTACCATGTGCTGCTAGATGTATCAAACTCACGGATTTGATCCTCTGAAGAACGGCCCTCTTGGTTGCTTGTTGTCCTATCAAAGGCTCGATGTTCAGCAGTCGTCCAATCATCTCTGCTTCCCTTCGTGCACAAGGCAATGGTGGTATTACTTTGCGGCGACCCTTATAAATGACTTCACCAACTTCAGGATCACCAACAATCAATGCACCGGTTTGACTGTGGTAATCATCTGGACTGTCCTGAATGAGTTTAAGAGTCGTCAACGATGGTACGAAGCGAATCCTAAACATTTCGGATAAAAATTTCCCATTCTTTGCCTGTAAAGCTGCAAATGGCACCCGAAACAACTGACGATCTGGAACGATGATGATGTTGGGCTCTTCAAGGAAGTCAGCAATAGGAGCAATGATCATGTCATAATACAAACGTAGCTTTGGGTCAGGTTCCTGGTCTTCGTCCTCCTCTATAGGTCGAAAAGAAGCGAAATTACCTCCCTCAGTCGACAAATCTTTCGTTTGATTCTCATACGAATAGCGATCTTGATGACTTCCTTGGGACAAAACGCCAAACTGTCGAAAGCTTTCAGCGAAAAATTCATCCCACGTTCTCAATAATCCGCCCTGCATTACATCACTGAATTCTCTTTCGTGGATTTTGAAGACACCGTTTCTCTTCAAAATCCACAGAACCAAATTTCGAGGTGTATACGAGATGTAGAGGAAAGTACTTTTCCTCTGTTTGTCCATGACATTTTCAATGCCGGTCCAGGATTGGAAATCAGTGGACACTTGGTTTGCTAATGAGTACTGGACTGACAGTGAGTCGGTTAAGGCCCGGGCTCTTCCGAGCTCTAAAACGCAGAGTGCCTGATTATAGTCTTCAGCCAAACGAAACATTTCACTGAGAATCCAGTACGGGAAAACACACTGTTGTGCAAAACATATCTTAAATTGATCGCTGTCCCCAACAGCACCACGCAATTCCTCGCAATTCTGAATGTTCGTAAAAAGACATGCAAATGCATCTAAAACAGCTCCTTCCAAAATTGAAACGTTTGTAAGTCTGCAAAGAATCAAGAACTCTTTTTTGCCGTCACGAATCTCTCTGCTGATGGCAAGTGCCCTCTCAAGATATTCTTTAGCTTTGACGTTTTGACTGAGGGAGATGCATAAACTTCCCAGGTGTTCATAATCTCTTGCCAATCCTTTCTTGTCCCCGAATTCTTCACTGATTGACATAGCCTTCTCGAAGTATTCTTTGGCCGTTTGGTGGTCGCCAATAACGCGATGAATGCGTCCAATCATACTGTAAGATCCTGCTTCTCCCTGTCTGTAACTAAGTAGTTTTGAAGTTGAAAGCGCTTTTTGAAAATTTTCGTCAGCCTTCTTGTATTTTCCAAGACTGAAAAACACATTTCCGACATTTATGTACGACGTGACCTCCGCTCTTTTGTCTCCAATTTCTCTTCTTATCCCCACGTCTTTTTCGAAATAATGTTGTGCCTCGACATATTCTCCAAGAGAGAGAAACAAAGCGCCGAGGTTCCCATAGCAAGAAGCTTCACCTCCTCCATTACCCATTTCTTTATGGATTGTTAGTGCTTTCTCGTAGTAATCCTTCGCTTTTACATATTCACCCAAATGTTTAAATACAGTTCCTAAGTTTCCTTTACATAATGCCTCTTCTTTCCTTGCGCCGATTTCTTGGGCGATTGCAAGTGCTTTTTCGTAGTGATCCTTTGCTTTGAAATACTCATCTTGGAATTGGAGCAAAGTTCCACTGTGCAAGTGAAACGAGGCTTCACCTCTTCTGTTCCCGAGTTTTCGTATGATTGCCACAGCTTTTTCGTAATAATCTTTTGCCTTGCTATAATCACCCAGAATTTGATACACAGTTCCTAAACCATCGTAAGATGTAGCCTCACCATTGATGTCACCAATTTCTTGTTGGATTCTAATCGCTTTTTCGTAATAATCTCTAGCCTTTGCATAGTTACCATAACGTTGAAACAAATTGCCTTGATTTCCATAACATGCTGCCTCTCCTTTTTTGTGTCCAATTTCTTGTTCTATGAAAAGTGCTTTCTGGTAATAATCTTGTGCCTTACGATATTTGCCAAGATGCTGGAACACATTTCCTAGATTTCCATAACATTTCGCTTCAACCAATTTGTCACCAGTTTTTACTACGATTTCAATCGCCCTTTCAAAATAACCCCTAGCCTCGGTATATTCACCTAAATCGAGAAAGACAGTTCCTAGGTTGCAATAAGATGATGCCTCTCCGTCCTTGTTACCAATCTCGTGCCTGATTTTCAGGCATTTTTCGTGATAATTCTTTGCCTCTAGATATTGACCAAGACGCTGTAAAACTATTCCAATATTTCCGTGACATATTGCTTCTCCCATTTTTTCACCAGCTTCTTGGTACATCATAAGAGCCTTAACAAAATATTCTTTAGCTCTGGCATACTCGCCAAGAGATAGAAAAACAATGCCCAGGTTCACATAAGTCGGGGCTTTACCTTTTTGATCACCAATTTTTTGCTTAATTGCGAGTGACTTTTCGTGATGCTCTTTTGCCTTGTTATATTCACCAATTCTCTCCAACACTGTCCCTAGGTTTCCATGAGAACTCGCTTCTAGATCCCTGTCGCCTGATTCTTTTGTGATAGAAATTGCTTTTTCGAGATACTCTTTCGCCTTTATGTATTTACCAAGAGACTGAAACATGGCCCCAAGGTTGGAGTAATTTCTGGCTTGTCCAGTTTTGTCACCCTCTTGTATTCTGACCTTCAGAGCATTCTCGAACGATTCCGTCGCTTTGACGGTTTTACCAAGAGAATTACAGACAATCCCCAGTTTCTCGTAGCAAAAGGCTTCTTCGCTACTGTTGCCTATTTCCTTATTGATTTCTGCTGCCTTTTGAAATAGTTCCTCTGCATCAACTAGTTTCCCATGATTTTCACAGAGAACGGCTAGTGTTAGGAGTAGGTTACATTCTAAAGATTTCTCGTCATAGCTATGAAGGGTGTGAAGAAGCCTCTTTCCATATTCTATAGCACTCGAGTCCTCAGAGATTAAACAATAGATATCGAACATGGCCAGATGCAGAGCTTTGGACCATATGAGGATTCTGTGTATGATTCCTCTGTTGTGTTTGCAAACCAAGCATTTCTTACAAAATCCAATGACCTGTAAAACTCGACAGGTCTTGAGAAAGAAACTGGCGACGACGACGCCAATCAAGACGGACTGTATAACCTCACCTGTCTCGTTCATGTTACAAGCTTCTACAAGAATAAAAATATGAGAATATTGGGGTAAGGATCCATTGCTGTTTACATCGTCTTCCCCTCAGTCTGTTCGGTTCGTCATTCAATAAATCCTGCAATCTGACTATTTTAAACCTGCAATCTGACTATTTAAACTACGCAAGTTGGCATTTAATTTACCTCTTTTGGCTCTCTCCCTCTCAGCTTATCATAACAAATAATTCATGCTTTTTGAAGACGTTTATAGGGAGCAATGGCTAACTTGTAAACTTCTCTTTCACAAGCTCATGTAACAGAATACACCCTGGTGCGTTTCTCTCCTGGGTATATCATTTCGTTTCGAAACCTTTTAAGGTTTTTAGGACTTTGGAGCGTTTGACGAAGTTTTAGGATGGTGACTAATGCACTGAAACCGAAATCTGCGGGATGAACTTCACAATAGTTTGATTTTTGCTTTTCGACAAGCAAAATTGTTGTTTAATAGTATGCATGAAAACGGCACAGGATAGCAGACAACAAAAACATTAACACAAAAAGACAAAATTGCTGGAAAGAATATTGACCAAAAACGACCGAGGAAGGTCGGAAATGGAGAGGACTGGCACAGACTCAAGACGACAATCGTAAAAACTTAAAATTTCTTGGAGAACCATAACCTACCTCGTAGCTTTTGCAAAGTAACTGAAGTAACGATTACTTTTTGACTATTTTTCTTACACCTCCTTCGAAAAAAATTGTATCTACCCTAAAACATCTTATAGAACTTGTAAGTAGACCACTGATCATGAACGCTCATTTGGCGTGACCATAACTTCATGTCGTAATTTGCGATTTTCCCAGTCTGTGTTAAGTTTTTTTTTCCAGTAGCAAACGTTTATATGGTTATATTAGACCTCTCGATCACATTAAAACTACTAGCGTTAAAATAGCCAAATGTTGAAAAATTAACTCGAAATTAAAAGGTGGTTATCACCTAAGCTGCCGGAACTGAGTCAGCTGTACGATTGAAATCCGGAACGAGCCTACTTCTTCACACTGAAAACAATTTTGTTAATTAAGGGAACCAAAGGATGGCTTCCATTCTAAACTATGCAAAGCTAAGAACAGCACTCGGAAGCAAAATTTAAAAAAATAACAACAACAACAAGTTATACCCACCGCTTGGTATTTTAGGAACTGGAAATCGGTAAATGTCTTATCTTTGCTAAAATCTCCTGGAAACAAAGCTTTTGTGGTAGTAGGGCTGAAAATTCACCAAGAGCAACAAGTAATTCTTAATCACTGTGAAAGCGTTCTTCAATTTCAGAGAGAGTTTGCCTTCCACTGTCGAAAAAAGAAGGAATGATAGGAGTAATCATCAACCTTTCTTAAAAAGGACCTTTTGGTTTCGGAAGAAATTTAATCGATGAAAAAAAATTTATTTATATAGGAAAAGTGGATAAGATAAGATAAGAGATCAGTAATCACTTTCGCCCCATTCCCACGCGAGGCTCCCGGTCCGCTCAGGAATGGAAAGGCTTCCTATCCTTACTTCCTTTTCACTGCTGAGAATTGTTTCAATCACTCGAAAATGGAATTGTTCTAAACGGCTGAGTCATTTATCATACAACACGCACTTTAACGCGCACTTTCCTCGAAAAAATTACGACACTGATTACTCGAAAGAGAGCCATACGCGAAGAAGTGGGCACGGGCCAGAAAAAGCTGTACAGTCTGGCGTACGGCCCACCAAGATGCGAGACAGAAACAATCAGAAAAGAAAGAGAGAAAGCAGCGGCAATGTTAAAAATCATATTGGCGCTCCGTTGCCTTAATACGGTAAAATGGCGTAATGAATGGTGGAATGATGAATTCATGTTATTCTGTGAAGGTCGACATAGGCCCACGGTCGCTGGATCGAGGATTGACAACAGTCGTTCAAACGACAGAGCAACATCTGGATAGTGATTTTAATAGAAATCGAATTTTTCGCAATGACCCTGTTTGTTTCACACTTATGTGACTTACTACTCAATATTTCGACTAAGCTTAGATAGATACATGTGATTACATAAACAATATAATTTCAGTAGTTCGCGACTACCGCACAAACCTAATATCAATTGAAACTAGACGGAGTAAGGATGCCTAACAATTGCAGGATTCCTACTGAGTTGGTTTCCGCCCAACAAACAGATGACAAACAGTCTCCCTTTTAAAAAACTACCCGTTCTTCGTTTTGCAAGACGCCAAAGCGCATTACATGTTTCTCTTCCCGAAATTACTAAACATCCTTGCTTAGTTGTTAGTCAGTAGGATTTTTGTGAACCAAGATATTTATACGTTATCTTACAGAAGAGATATTTCATATGAGCTCAAAAGAAAAGTAACTTCATGGTAAATTCTTATGCAGTAACGAGAAGTAACTGTCTTTAGGTTCTCAGATTTAGAATTTCCTGCAATAGTTTAGCAAACAATACAATTCCCCTAATAATACAGATCTCTATAGGTTTTATCTATTAAGAATACAGATCTTATAACCTTGAACTCCCTTGATTTGACTCGCAATTCTCCCTTCAGACTTTCATACATTCCCTAGTGAATTAGGCGGAGAATTTGGTATTATACCAAGCTATACCATGTGAGTGATAATTTTGTGTACTCTTGTCGACTTTGCTTGATAATGTACGAAGTTTGTAAGGGTAAATTACATTTGAATCATATCTGGGAGCTATGAGGTGAGGGAAAGTTTCTTTTACGCTTAAACTAACCAAATCTATTTCGTCAAACGCAAAGGCAGAAACTGCCGCCCTGCGATAAACGCAAAACTGAAAACCCTCTCTAGCCGTCGTTATTTTTACAGGAGGAGGCTTCTACTTGACCTCACTGAAAGAGAAGAAATTCTTTTCCTTGCATCTTACGAAGGTCAGCTTTGAGGCACATTGAGACTTACACGTACGTGAAATTATACACAAAATTGTTGTTTTCTTATAAATCTACCAACATAGCTAATCACCGAACAGTTGCCGCAATAAATACAAAAATTAGGGCAATTAACAGCGACAATGTTACATTTATAAACAATTCTCAAAGAGCCTTGACATAACCTGCTCCCTGGGTGTGACGGCGGGGTAGGGCCGGAGGGGGGGTGGTGGTGAGAGGAGGGTAGAGAGGGGGGAAGACCCCCCTTTTCTCTACACTCGAGCTGAATTTTAGCGCAAATCCAATGTGCTGATCATAATTCAATCCCCTGACTATATTAAAATGTAAGCATTAAATTACTGTGCGTCATGTTTCTTTATATATAATTAATCTCCATCAAGTTATTCGTATCCCCTTTGATGATTTAAACTTTTCTACGCCGTTATGATTGCCTCTCCTTTAATAAGGATAATGATCACTTGTTCTCCCTCAATATACAAACAAACACGTTTACCAAAGTTCAAAACTACCATAAAAAAGCGGTCGACAATATATTACGTCGAAATCGTACACAGCTACCAATGTATTCCGTTATATCATTTATCTACACTAGATTCATTTGTCTTGTTTTACTGGTTTGATCTTATGCTTCTTCGTAGAAACCGTCGATCTCATCTTTGAACATTTTGTTCACAATTGGCCGCCTCAGCTTCAGAGTGGGACCTAGAATAAAGTACAAATATAACATTAGGGTCAACAAATCAATATCAACTATATCTCGTATGATATTACAGCGTCCCTTTCAATGCCATTTTTCTCGTTACGTTAGCGAGCGAATCTCAAAGTTTGCCAGTCAGAGTTCCTGAAGCGATCAGGATCCAAATTCTCCATTTAATCTTAATATACTGTAAAACAGACGAGTACTGAGAATTACGAAAATTATCGACGAGGGACTATCGCCTGCATGAAACACAAAATTTACAGGAGTGGCCAACAAAGGAAGGCATGGTCATCATATGGGAGAGTTGACTCTCAGACCTTTGGAGTGAAAGAACAAGGACGGAGCTAAATTGAGACCAGAGTAAACCATTCTTAATTATTCAAACAAATTCTTACCCAACTCTCCCCCTGGAAGGGAAAAGTCTTTTTCCAAGATGCGCCACTTCTGCACCTGCAAGAGACAGTAAATTTTAAGATAAGAATTATCGGATAGGACGTGTTTACACAAACGCAAGAGGACTTGCAACATCAAGCCTAAAATGAACAATTTTAAGGAAGTGATTGCAAACGAATATACTTTTAGTCGTGCTTTTTAACTGTCAAAATGAAAGACAACCCCAGTTAAACCCTTTAGACCCTAACATCAGAATGCATATTCTCCATACTGTTCTCCATATAAATCCTAAGGTGCTGACGGAGAGAATTTCAGAGAGCTTCTTTAGTTGGAGTTCATTTTACCTATTTTCATGCACTTTAAGTTTAATTCAGGGTTAAATTGTTGGGAGAAATTAGATGCTAGTCACTCTTAGGAATTAAAGGGTTCAATACAATAGATGATTACAGATTAACTGTAGTACACTGTTCTATGCACCGCCATCTTTTCGAAATCAAATATATATTCAAAACTCTCATGGAAACTCTGTATTTCACGAAGAACTCTCCATACTATGTACTTTTCCGTTCCATACCTTTTGAGCTCTGGACGTGGACTTGGCATTAGCTCGATCAATTCCCTCTTGGATGGCTTTCATTACTTTCTCGTCTTTGGTCGACAGAATTTCGGAAACAGTTTTTGCTTGACTGCCGATGGACTTACAGTAATCGAGGGCAACATCGGTGAGATTGTCAGAAGGTTCGGCAGTTTCTACGTCAACAACAACCTAATAGCAAAATGCCAAAATGCATGAGAAAGTCAACTACTACATTTATATCAACGTTAAACACTGATGATGGCTCACACTGAACCTACAAGCTATCCTTTCTAACTAAATTGGGTCACTCAAATGACATTTGGAGTAATGTAGTAGTTGCTCTCAGTTTTTCAGTCCTCCTTATGCAAAGGGTTTTTCGGTCCCCTTCTTTTCCACTTCACTTCTCTATTGCAAT